CGAGTGAAGCTTCTCTTATTATTTGCCTCGCACAGCAGCTCGACATCTCGGTGAAAACTCGACAATTAGGAACATTCGTCATAGCGCGACGGCAAACTTGGAAGCGAGATCGGGCTCTCTCGTGCAGATCCATCGACTGTGAATCCGGAGGTTCCACCGTACGATGTCCACTTTTAACAGGGAACCACTTGTACGGTCGGATATGCTTCGCTAGATGAGACTATCATCGGCGTGGTCGGTTGCTCCGCACGCGTGCATCGCGCATGCACGCGCTACGTTGCTCGGTTCACACGTCGTCTGGTGCGCCGTAGCATCCGCCGACAGTTGAGCGGAAAAATGAAATCGGGGCGAATGACGTCACAGAGTTTGATACAAATCCAATCGCGTCCTCCGACGAGATCGTTTACTGCGTAAGAAGACTCAAACGACACAATCATATCACATCTCATGAATGACCCGCGATCTGGCCAGATTCGAAGAGTAGCATCTCTATATCGATCGTTGCGCCTAATCCGATGGATCTGGTCTCGATAAGGCTACTGGGAGCTGATCGAAAAGTCGATAGGCGGGCATCGCTCCTCAGACCGTCACGCTCCCGGAAGATTTCTTCTGAAGCCAATCGAGATACTAGACGAGGATGGGGTAACGATCGAGGCGGATACATTTGTTGGCGACATCAACGAGGAGGCGAATTACTACAGCAAGTAGAAACACTCGCGGGCTATGAGGAACGTGTTCGTTGAGGATGATAGCAGTCATCGTAAATGTGATACACCTTTCTTGTCGTGAATGAGGAACATCGTATTGGCTGTGAATTACGGACAACCCGACTGTCGTGAATGGAAGTCATCTGGTTCCCTATGCCCCGATGTCTGCAGCAGCCTGTGCTCCGAACCATTAGTATATGTAGCCTACGATTGGATTCTGGCCCTGCTGACGGGATCCCACGACTGCGGACAACTGTTTGCTACCAGGCGACGCCTCCTTCCTCTGATGACCTCGGAAGCCCTATGCGAGCCAGGCTTCCCACATCAGATTTTGAATAATCGCAGCGCCCACGAGAAATCCGCAATTCCAATATACATGGCGAGTCATTATGAACAAAACCCGAAAAGAAGTCCGACACGACGGAAGACATTGACGGTGTGCGTTCTATCGTACGATATTCGCATTCAGGCAGAGGCTCCGGATACTTTTACTCAGGATGATGGCTCGCTAGGCTGATGTATGCGCGGCCGGTCTGGGATAGTCGACGAATGAGGGGGCCAGGAGGGGGGATTTCGATCATTATCCGTTGATAGTCTTTATATTGAAATGGATAAAACTAGACGAGCCGGAGCGTGAATCGTTCCCCTGGGCGTGGCTAGCCACGTTGATGCCCGCACGAGTATTCGCATTGCTTTTCGGGCGACCCGAATATTATCCTTTTTCTCCTTACTCATGGAATAAGGATTTTCCCTCAGAGTGGAAGCGACTCCGGAACCAAGCGCTCAATCCTGATAAGTTCGAGGCAGCGGACAAGCGACGCGACGGTGGTCCAACGGGAATCAGTGAGACGAAAAGTGCTAAGACCCGATGATGAATACCCCCGGAATTCCTTAGCGTCGCAGGAATCAGGTCCGAGCAATATTGTGGTATTAATAATCCTTTGAAAATCCGGAAACAATGGTTGAGAGGATCTGATGAATGGAGACGAGAGGTGAAAAGGCTCGCTCCTCTTCAGAGCCGCTCACCTGAATTTTTGAAGACTATGCACAGCGGCTTTATTCCGGCGAGAGATGTTTAACCTTCCCAAGACCTTGACCCCCATGTCAATGGCGAGTATATGGAGCCGCTGATTATGAAGCAGGTGTACTCACATGAATAGGATTTGACTCTAGAATTAAGTTCTCCCATTAATTAGATCTGATCCGAGGAGACAAATCGATGTCGCCACCGCGTCAGAGCATACGACACATTGCGCTGTCTGCGCCGAAGCCGACGCAACGGGATTTCTCCAAAGCTCTCCGAGAGCTGCCAACCTCGCAATGAGAGTCTCCGATTTTGACCTTGGATGACTAAGCGCTTTTGGTAAGCGCCCCCGACAGGACCCGAGCCTCGGAGAACGCACATGCGGACGTCATTGTCGACCAGCTCTGTTCTATCAAAAGTTTCAAAGCTAATTGCTTCCGGCATCATCTTAAAAAAAAATTAAGATCGAAAAATAATACCGCGAGGCATTTACTCCTCGAGTGGGCGGTCGTGTTACGCTTCAAGTGTTCCTGACAGGGAACGTTCGTGACGATAAGTAGGCTGAAAACATGCTCCACCGGCCTCTTCCGGACGAACACCGTTGCTTCGGAACCTAGCTTTAGTTTTCGATAGCCTCCGTCACCCTTTGTTCGATCCGAGGCGGGCGGTAAGCCTCGTCGCATTCGTCGTCAAGCAGATTGAAGGGTTTGCTGCGATATCCTCATTCTGGCGAAGTCGTTTTTTTCCGATTGCGTCGACGGTCGGGCTCGTCAAATCGATCGAGTCCGAGCGGATAGTCAGCGGGCCGACGGACAGACAGACGGCAGGACAGGCAAACAAACAAACGCACGCGGTACATGAGTGAGTATCAACTGGAAATTAATTCATCCGCTTCTCCCTTTGTGACGCGAGAGGCAAGATTCGTTGCTGTTGATCGCGTCGTACTTGCGAAATATTTATGAAGCGGTTCGTATTCAGCCTGGTCCCGTACCTTGTACACATTTGCAGAGAAGCCGCGCCGAAAATTATTCGCTCAACGTTACTCAGCCGGAGGCCCCACTTACAGATAATGAATGACGCTTGCGCGGATGGATAGTTTGCCGGCTGGCTGACTGGATGGCTGGCTGGCTGGCTTGCTTTTCCATACTCCCAAACTCTCCTGGGCGAGCAGACGCTCCTCATAGAGATTCCATCGGAGTTTTCAAACGCTTAGTGCCGCAAGCGCAGTGTCGTCTTCGCCGGAGCGTATCCGACGCAGCCACCACCGCCGCCGCCGCCGTAAGAAGATACTTAAGACGGAGACGAGAAGAAGATAAGAGCTTTGTTATTCACAACATCTTCTCGCGACCGCTCCAGCTCGGCTTCCCTTCCGTTCGAAAGGCTCTCGTGCATCCGTTTGCTCCTGATGCACCGGAGCAACTATTATCTACGACGTCCCGTCATTATCACCGCCGCCATCACCGAGTTCATCATTATCGTTATTGTTGTTGGTCGCGTAGGCGTCAGAGTCATCGTCGTCCCTCCCATCGTGGTCTCCATCGTCATCACCTCCAGATTTAGAAGCCGAGTGAACGGAAAGTTCCGCAAATCTAGACCGGCGCTATTCTCTCTGGAGTCGAGGAGTTTGCACGGAATAGTAGGTCACTGCAGGGAGTCGGTCGTCTCGAGTGAGATTCGCGCCAGTCATCAGAATTTTTCGGAGTCCCGATGGACCACCGTCTTCGGCGAACGTCGAAGGTGGGAACTCGTTCACCGCAGGCGAGAACGACACTCCGTTCGGAATCAAGGCCACAGCGGTGGTCTGCAATTAAAACCATTTGAACTGTGGGCTCCGCCGAGATTCGGTGAGAGTACCGGAACGGAGGGCCGGTTGGGAGACCGAGCCCCGTATTGCTTTCGGGCCTGATTTACTTTTCTCCGCTAACGCAGCCGACTTTATACTAGACGGTCGGCTCGACGATCGATCTAGAGATCCCCGCCGCGGGCTCCTTTCTGCTTCTTGCTATGCTGTAAAATTGCAAATGGATCTCGGAAGCCCTGAGCGCGTCGTCAAATGGTATTGAAATGAGCCCTGGCTGAACGAAATTCGACTAAATCAGTGTAACCGGATCGAGTAAGCCGTCTCGAGCGCCGCATTTTATTCGGAGTTACTTTTAATTCATTATCCGAGACTGACTAATTCTCAAGAATGGTCAGCCTTTCGATAATGAATCGAGCTCATCCTTCTGTTTGCCATGTATTTCCGTCGGCTCATGATGCTGCTAGATGAACGAAGTCAGAACGGTTCGCTCCCGATAATTCCGCCGGAAACGAGCTCTGTGTATGTTTCTCCGTGAACAAGGGTCCGGACCAGCTGCCGTTCGGTCCGGTACCAAGCAATGATTCTGGCAAGACGCAGAGAAACCTTGCGCTTTCATCGATTTTACCGCTGAGAGCCACTGGCCTACGTGAGACGGATACCGACGCAACAAAGCCTCCCACCGCTTGACGGGGGTAGTGATAGATTTCTAGATTCGAAACAGTGGTTGAATCGATGTGTCGTGTCTTGTCGCATCCCTTGCTCGGAGGAGAACTTCAAACGCATATAAATCGTGGAGTTCTCCAGACCAACGCCTGCCTCGTCCCACGGCTCTCTCGGAGACTGTTGAGCGGATCGCCTCCTTGTTCCGACACGGCGTTTGACTCTGTGATTAATAGCCTCGTAGAAATTCAAAACATACAATCTCTGTCGCACGTCGATGTGATCGTGGACTCCTGCGAAGTCATCGAGAGAGAAACTCCGCTCACAATGAAGGGTCCGACAGACCGGAACGGAGTCGATTTACCAGCAGACGGATCGATGGCTGATAAATAATTGTTTCCTTCTTCCTCCCGATTCTTGGGAGGAGGATCCTCGAATATTTGGGCGACTCCGATTTTATTCCCTTAATCATCACAATCAGGAGTTCCGGAATTATGGGGAGCTTCCGATAAATCCGTCAGATATCGACAGCTTTCCCTCCGGGGCTCCCAAGTGTTGGTTGTTCCGTTCGTTCTCCTCTCTCTCGTTCTGGCGTGAGCCAAGCTCCGTGCGGTTTCCTCGGCTCTCTTGAACCGGGCAATCGTCATGCGGGGCTGGGAATCCAGACATTACAGCGAGATTAGAGCGGAGATTCCGAATCAGTCGTTATCGATATCCAATCGATGCTTCCCGTGCAAAATAGCTGTCGTTTGTCTCCGGAGTGTTCGCCTCGACTGCTTTTCCAAGTAACGAGGTCGGGTCCCGCTCAATGTCGCGTCGTGAGCTCTAGGTATTCTTCTCCGGGAGACAAGGAATTATACTTTTGCTCTCCCCCATGATGCAGCCGTTTCCCCGCTGATCCTGTTCCTCTTGCGGAAAATCATCTGCTGGAGTCTCGTTCTCGAGTTCACGTAGGACAGTCAGACCCGAGAGGAGATCAGCAGTCTGCGGAGCTCATCGGAATGAACGAGCTCCATGAACGAAACGTTCCCCGTTCTTCTCGACGAGCTATGAGACGGGGGGAATGCTCGCCTCTGATATGGCAGAGATCTCCATTACAGGCGTGGGCGCGAATCGAGAATCGCCGTCCGCGGTACAGGAGTGGACGGCTAGCCCGTTGGCTCCCTCGCTACTCACCTCAAATCTAATCGCTCTAAATCTAGCGGAAAAGTTCAGCTTTTGATGGAGATGACTTTTCTCGTTCGTTGACCGAGCTATTTGACCGCCATTACTCCGCTATTCGTGAGGTATGGCGTCAGGCATGCGATTGCAGCGTCTCATGCGGCACCGTCCTCTTGAACCTTTTCCTCGGCCAAGACCCGACGACGCCGACGTCTCCAGGGCTTCACGAGTGTTTGATTTCGCGGCCCGGTCGATTGGGTTCGATAGGGCAGCGCATACGGAACATCACTATATGGAGGAACCTCTTGCGTTCCAAGGCCCGGAGCCGAGCTAGGCCCAGGAAACAGAGGAGAGCCGCCTGGTCGACTCGCTGTCCGTACGTCTGCCCATCCGACTAGCCAGCTGCCCAGCCGCCCGCTCCTCTGCCATCCCGTTCGTCAAGGAAACGCGTACGGAGTCCATAATTACCGAGGCGCTACTACACTGCGGTCTCTAACGATGTGGGATGCGATGTGTGTTCGCACGCCAGCGCGTCACGTCATAGTAACGCATTAATCAGGACCAAGCAATGTGAACGGCCAGCCAACGATGTCTAGTCCGTCCGCAACGCATCGCTTCATATTGCGGTTCAGTCGCAACCGTCAAGTCCACCGCACGTTCAATACTCACTCACCAGCTCGGCTAGGTGATCGGTTGGTTGTACGGCCGTTCGGTCGGTCGGTCGGTACCACCGCCCGCCCATCGACTGGAGCCGCTGGCGAAACGTGTTCCTCTCATCGAGGATTGTGGAACGGTCGACGACAGTCTCATCCTGCGTTTTATTCTCCTTGTATGATAGACTTCAGAAAGCGAGCGAGACGAATTTCAGCGCAGGCCTCCGTGCCGTCTTTCAGTCGAGGTGCATAAATTCCATTAAGGACAGCAAACAAGCCGGCGAACCGCAGGCTTCCCTCGACACACGCGAGGCCTGATGGATCCTTCTGCTGAACAGAACAAATGGTCCTCTATCGCTGATTTTCGAATGAGATGTGCCCACCTTCCTACTGCTCGTTCTTCCATCCGTGCTCTTGCTCCGAAGAGAACTCTGCCAAAGGGATGACCGGCTGGTTCAATTTTCTACGAAGCACGAGCCATTCAATTGCGGCGTAGATTTCGCAACACGCTGGCGGAAATTTCAATGTGGTCCCCTGCGACGTCTTCGAAGGAGTTCCATTCGAGCTCTACGACATCCTATGGGAAGGATCATACGAATGCGCCGTTGACGTCATGGGTAACAGGGGCGACTTGATTAATAAATCATCAGAGACTGCGCCCATCCAATGATCCGCGTAGAATCGGACCGTTTGCGAACTAGATTCAGCACTTTAACGCACTTTACGGCGTCACTTACGGCTGTCGAAAAGAGCGAAAGTAACGACATCACGAACATCGGACGAGTATATCAAGATATCAAACCACTTTGTCGGGGTGTGAACGAATGCACCGGCTCGAGTACGAGCTGCTTCTCGAAAAACGTTCCAAGACGCGGGGTGTATCAGGAAAAAATCTCCATGTACTCCCTCCGGGGGGGAAGTCGATTGAATGAGTATAAGTAGGCGCTTGTCATCGCGGAGGACTGTATTTAAGATCCGTTAAGCCTACACGTGACTATCGTATGTAGGCCATCTGGCCGGTGTGCTAATGGTGGCCAAGCGGTCGTTCGCTAGGTGCGGTAACGCCTAACCTCGCCTCTCTGTAATTGCACGGTCATGGCTGGCAGTCGAATATTGCGCTTCGTGGCAAGAATATTGTGACGCCACTTGCCAGTTTCTTCGAGGGGTCTCATTGGAATGGGGAACGGCTCAGACCTTCATCACTCATCTTTTACTTCGATAGCGGTCCCGAGCTTCCCTCCTGGAGCTTCGTATCCAGAAGCCTCCGTCTAAAAAGAGTGGCTCCAACTCGGTGTATCCATTCAAGTTTCGCTTCGCGAGGCTCAATCAAGTTCGCTTAGGTTCTTGAGCGGACCTCAACTAGACCCATGTTGACGGACACTGACGAATAGTGACGAACAGAGCATCCTGAGGGCTTCGGTCAAGGATCCCTTTTGTGATTCAAAATTTATTGTCAGATAGGTAGACCATCGTCGGACAGCCACCCGAGTTCACTAAGAAGTTTCCCTTCGCTGGGGGTGATAACTTATTCGAGAACTTTTTTTTTCGTCCGAAGGGTCGATGGACTGGTATCCGAAGTAACTAACTCACTTCCCCAACGTTCGTAGTGATACGCACACCGTGTATGCGAGGGATTCGCATTAGGTGGATTGTTCCCCGAGGAGAACATGGCATTATTTACTCTCGACAGGCATTACTTCAGCTGTTGACTCGACTTCTCCCGGGTCGCCTCGGCTCGCACGGTTCGCGTGTGTCACGCTGACGACTCACTTTCTTCTGTTTCCAATTTTTCAGCATCGATCGTGTACACCGCTGTGGTGAGAGGCAAAGTAGCTTTGCCGTGCAGCATCGAACCCCCAGGACAGGACGATGAGGTCGCTCTCGTTCTCTGGTACAAGGATGACATTCCCGCGCCAATTTTCACAATCGACGCCCGTGGATCGCGGGACCTGGAATCGGCGCGCCAAACCTCAGTCGATCAATTGGGCACCCGCGCGGTCTTCAATATCGCCAACAAGCCCTCGTTCCTCCAACTCGATCCTGTCAACGAGGCCGACGGAGGAGAATATCGGTGTCGAGTCGACTTCAAACGAGCTCGTTCCATAAACACCGTCATCAATTTGCGAGTTATCGGTGAGTCAATGAATTTCCTCCGAGTACGCTTTTGCTCCATGTAGCTAGGTGGCAGAGACCCACTCGATTCGTACTGCGGGGAGCCGCCCATTGAGTGGAGTGCTCCTCGATTGTTTTCGGGGAGAGCAGTTCGTTTTCGACTCTGGTTCGGCGTCGAAAAAAAAGTTCTCCCCGATCATGGGGATCTCATGGATGGCGTTGAGCCATTTTGTCGACCGCGGAACCTGTTCACTGGAATGGATTCATTAAACAATTAAGAAAGATATCTTTAGAGATCCAAAAGGCCACCGCAGGAGCTCCGATGATTCGCGCACATCGTTCGTTGGATGTGCTTGTTCAAAAACACGTAAATGATATTTATTGAACGCATAATCGTAGCGGACGCGAAGCGCGCCCCTCGCTGCCTACCGAATTTGACCGCTGAGGGCGGCGGCCAAAAACAGGAGCTGCTCTCTCCGAAATGAGCAAGATGCCATTGCATCTTGCCATAAGAATGGCAATAATGAGTCAATTGTTCCCCGTTCCCTTTGCAGTGCCTCCAGGAGAGCCCGCGATCTTCACGGAGAGCGGAAAAACTTTACGAGGACTAGCGGGCCCATTCAACGAAGGAGATCCCTTGACCCTCACTTGCAAGGCCGATATCGGTGAGCTTCCTTCCTCATCTTTCTCCCCTTCCCCTCCATTCAGCGGCGAAACATTCGCGAGGGCAAAACAAGCGGGATGATGAGCTTTGTATCCGGGTTTCTGATCGGAGGGACAGACCGATGTAGATATTTCTCTGCTCTGTGACATGCGTCAGTCCCCAGTTTCCCGAGGAAGGTGTGAAACGAGTGAGGTTCCTCGTCGTCGTCATTCAAGCTCGGAGGTCGCAAAAGAATCCCAACCAGAATATGAAGTTTTTGTCAGTACGACGCTGTCGTCGACGATCAGGATTGAGCAGGCAATTTGGAGGGAAATTCGGCGCTTCTCCTGAGGACGACAGAAGGAAGGCCCGGCGCCCCTGCCCCTGTCGTCAGGACGAGTTGTTTGTCCGAGTTGCCAAATAGAGTGGGTTGTCATGCAAATCTTTCCTCGTCAGGCAAACCACGACCTACGTTGCACTGGATGCAGGAGAACCGGGTGATCGACGAGAAATTCTACTTCGATGTCGACAGGAACATCGTCCGTAATACTCTCGAAATCCCACAGCTGAACAGGTCGGACCTTCTCGCAGTGCTCACGTGTCAGGCGGCCAACAACAACATCACTTCACCGTCGCAGACATCGATCACGCTAGACCTTAACTGTGAGTCTGTGAGACGAAACTCTGTTTTGTCCTGCGCGGTCACTCGGCAACTTGATAATAATAAGTCGACATGACACTGATTCGGGCATTCATTGACGCTACCGGGGACACCTTTAAGTGATGGAGTTTATTGTTCGCGGCAGCATTGCGGTTGCGGCCATGATAGGCCTGTGAGTGATCTAAAGTGAAAGGGGCTCTTCGATTAACGTTTCCCGTCCTGCAGTGAAACCGTTGGATATAAGTATACAACCACCTGAACGATCGCTCTCGGCTGGCAAATCCGTTGAATTAGTCTGCACGTCAAGCGGTTCACGACCGCCAGCTGTGTTGACTTGGTGGAAGGGCGATCAACAAGTCAAAGCAACCAAAGAGGATTTCGCCAAAGGTCAGTGAGGCGGAACGTTGCCTAATTATAATTATGATGCAGATGCACAATCGAGCGGAATCCATCTACGGACCTCCACATGTCAACGTGGGGAGATGATGTCGCCGACGTTTGGGTAACGCTCATAATTTCTTATCGACGCAAATGCTAATGCGTCGCTACTCGCTTACGTATCGGTGCTCGTTGCTGAATCTGCACGACCGGCACATTCTGGGCCTCGATTAGCGAATTTCGATTAGCTATTAACGAATGAGTTACAATGAGCGTTCTGTGTCTACGCCTGCCGACCTTCATTGATTGTCGGAAAAACCGGTGGTACTCGAGATTCCTCCCAATATCTCTCCAATCGGATATCGTTCGACTTGTTGACGGAGGGTTTCTAATTCCCATCATTCCTCAGGTGGTCTCAGCACGAGTACGAGTGTCCTCGTTTTCACGCCGACGGCTGATGATCACAAGAGAGTGATCGCGTGTCGAGCCGAGAATCCCTCGATACCTGGCAGTGCTCTAGAGCAGAACTGGAGATTGGATGTGCACTGTGAGTATCTGGCGCAATAACTTCTCCTAGATCGATCGCTCACCGTACGATCTCGATCACACTTGTACGAAAATGGATCGGAATCCAAGGTCGCACCCAAGGACCGACGAAGTTGCGAACTGATGTCCCTACCGGGTGAAGATGTCCACTGTGAGGGCTGAGCTTGGAGTTTGCCAGAGCTTTCGTTGGACATCCATTGTCTCGAGGAGCCATGGGCGACCGCTCGTCGTACATATGAACCGAGTGAAACCTCAGTACCTAACTCTAGCATTCCCTCGTGACCACCGAGGGAAATAAGCTCGTGTAGATCATTGAAGACAAGCAACACTCGATACCGCAAGCAGCTACATTGTACCGCCTTGCAGATTCGCCTCGGATGAAGCTGACGTTGGGAAGCAACTTGCGGGAAAGCGACATCCAAGAAGGTCGTGACGTCTACCTAGACTGCAAGATTCGCGCCAATCCGCTGACATCTGAAGTTATTTGGGAATTCGAGGGCCAAGAGCTCCAAACAGACAAGAACAAAGGTGAGTGCCTTGGCCTTGCGTACAATCGAACGCGACAGCGAGTAAAAACTCGGTGAGCATCCCACGTGTGTAATTTTAGAATCATATGATGGCCGCAGCAAATCGCTGACAGACCTATTTCACATTTACTTAGCGACTGATTGCTCAGTCAGAGTGATCTATTATATTTTCCGTGGCTATCGATTGTGAGAACTTGAGACTCGTCGCATGTCACGAACATTGTCGAGAACAGGGAGCGCGCTCTTGATTGCGCTTTGAACATCTGTTCCGGATGTGGTGAGGAGAAGTACATTATCTCGCATGCTCTCATCGTTTCCTTCCTTTTTGACTCCAGGGATCATTGTTAGCAGTTCGTCCCTTGTTCTGCAAAAAGTACAACGTTACCAACGCGGCTGGTACACTTGTTCAGCCACGAATCGCGAAGGTGTGGCCATTAGCAACAGACTGTATCTACGAGTGAAATGTGAGTTCCCTTTCGACGATCTCGCTGGAACGAGAGGACGGGCGGCAGAGGTCGTCATGAGTGATTACTGAGACTCTATTGGGACGCTTTGTATCAAGCGACCGAGTCGGAAAGTCGAATGAATAGAGATCCGGATTGCAGGATTAATACATAGCAGCAAACACGAGCGGGCGGGTCTATTTCGGACCACTTGTGCGCAACTCGCATGAATACACATGAGCCGCGGTGAGATGCTCCGAATAATGAACGGATGGATCGATCCACCTTTTTAATGACCCGGTAGACCTTTGAAAGGGGGCGAATTGATCTCTAGCGTTCTATCGATTGTATCGAACGTCGAAGTGCTCCATGCGGATACTTTATCCACCGAGCCCCCATCTGACGCGGTCACGTCGATCACCGATGTGCAATTGATCTTAATGGAGACAAACGCGGGCAGATTATCTCCTCGACTGGCGACCCCAAAAATTGTTGCAAACGTCAACAACCGGAAGACGTGCGGAAAGTCCGCGACGCCGGCGGGAACGCATGTGCATATTGACAGAGATTTCCGCGAGCTCTGATCATCACCGTCTCGCCCCTCCTCGACGTCTCCTGACAGCGATCAGAACACGAACGATTCGCTCGTAGAATAAAACGCGAACGCCCAGTCGATTACTGTTCTGGGCTGTGGGTTTTCAACGACAGCACATTTCAGATTCCCCGCGTTGTAAGGAGACCCAACGACGAGTGTACGGGGTGTCTTTGCACGAGACCACCTCAATACGTTGTGATCTGGACGCTGATCCCGAGTCGGAGATCGAATACACCTGGGCGTTCAATAACTCACAGGGCAAAAGAGCAGATCTGAATCCTGTCACCGCAAGTGCACACCGCACTTCAAGGTATGTAGAGAGAGCGACCCGCCCCGGACAAACGCCGGGAATGTACCGAGAGCCTCACACCCTAAGCAATTTATTTTAGCTGTCTTACACTGCGAGAATCTCGGGCTTTCCCTCTGGGATCCGCCGCGACGCTTCGAGTCTTTCCATCACGAGGCGACTGTTGGTCTTCTTTGTTGCTCAGCGTTTTCTTTTCTGCTCAATAGGTCCATCATCAACTATAAGCCCATGACAGAACAGGATTATGGAGAGCTCCTTTGCTACGGCACTAACGAAGTAGGACAGCAATTGGTTCCATGTGTTTATCAGGTTGTCGCCGCTGGTACTCCAGACCCTCTGGAAAATTGTTCCCAGGTAAACAAACTCTTTCTGTCTAGTCTGAGTTCCGCAGACTCGACGGGGTTTTCTTCCCGACGAGAGGATGCGCGGGATCGAGCCCGAGTTTGAACCTGTCGCCAGCCACAGGGATAGAAAGCATATTTCACTCGATTGCGGTCTCGTCGGAGCGAAGTTCCGTGGAACCTGAAGAGGGCTACAATCTTCAGTTCATGCGCGACGGAACGATGCGCGTAGGCTTTCAGAGAAGGCTTTCCGTCGGGGCTAAATTGAATGAAAATTTTCGCGCAGGTGAACGCCACCGAGAGTGGTTTTACAATCGAATGCACCGAAGGTCCCTGGAACGGAGGCGTCGCGCAGTCGCAAGTGTCATTCGTGGCGGAAGTGTTCAATGTAGACACGCAGGAATACGTGACCAACGTCACAGTCGAGGGCTCTCCGGTGTTTCTCTTTAAGGAGTTGCCTAACGCTGAGAATAATGACGCCGGATACCGTGTACAGATTAGCGCTCTAAACCACAAGGGTCGAAGTTCGGTCACGTTGATCATAGCTCATGTACTCAACGCATCGAAATACACCCGTGAGTTCACCGGAAAATCCATATTTTCGAACGATACGAGCGCAGTCTCCCTAAATGATCATACCGATCAAACCGATTTTGCGTCTTTTTGCAGAGCCACCACGGCTAATGGTCATCCGACCTGTCATTGGAATCATTTTGGGCCTTATCATAACAATAGCATTTGTGGGGTTCTTTGTCTTCACCCTTCTCAAGTGCAAAAAATATCAAGCTCAGAACAAAGGTGAGCCCGACCGCTTCTATCGATCCGACCGCAGAGTTTTATCTCAATACTGACGTTTCTCCGATTGAATAGGTCCACTAGATGAGTTTTTTTTCTCTTCCATCAGCTCTCGAACCGCAGAAGAACAGCAAAAAGTAAGTGTCGAATTCATTTCCGGATCTCGTTGTCATATACTCTGCCTAGGAGCCTGTCGTGCCTCATGATTTTTCCAAGCCGGTTTGGTTCAGACATGCGGGAAGGATTCAGGGCGAGCTTACGCAGTGTCGAATCTATTTCCTGGCTTTCACCCGTGGCCTCGAGGTGTTTCGCGACAGCCTCAGATCGATCGAAACAGACTCCGGACTACCAAGCTGCGAGAGTGATCCACCGGAAACCGCAGAAAAATTATATTGCCCTTTGAACTTCGAATCAACGTGAAGTCGGTGCAAATCTCCGATCTGTTGCCCCTCTATCTTCACCACGGGGAACTCGAGGGAATGTGCTACCTGCCAGTTCTCAAATTGACAGCTCGCGACGCGGTCTGAGAGTTGTGATATTCTTCCCGGTCCATGAAGATGTTAAGTGCCCCGGGCAGGAAATCACCGAGTTCAAACAGCGGACACCGTCGAAGGCGATCGCAGCCTCGTTTTGGAGCACGCGGGGGGGTCAGAGACAATTAAATATAAACAGTTTAATCACAGCCTCTCCGACCTCTCGGTCCGAGCTCAGTCGCTTGTACCGAGTTATCGATGCGTAGCTGAGACGAAATTTTGTGACTTTGCCACTGGACTCGCTCGGGGCTTTTCGTACATATTCGTAGATTCCTCAACGAGCCTTTGCGGAGCTTCGGTCGAAGACCCAGTGAGCACTGATTGCAGATGCGTTTCTCGGGTGAATTTATTCACACGACTGTATTACCCTAAGGGACAGGAAAAAACTCCTTCGTGACAAGCCGCCGCGGATGTGCGCCTCAAATTGCGAGCAGATGGAGGCTCTCAAGATTCGATCGACCACATGAATAGCTCCACGGAGCGCTTTCAAGGAGAGAGTTTCCGAGTTCAGATGATAATAAGCAATCTCAAGTTTGGCTCACGTTCGGCGGGAAGGAAGAGGGGGAGGGGAATAGGGGAAACGGGAGTCGGCAGTTCCCCCCAATGATTTTACTTCGTCGACTTCCCTTCAACTTTTCGAATCCTCAAAAACGTACGTCTCCTAGACTTTTATTCATGCTCCCTCAGAAGGGTGCAAAATGTGCCGCTCCTTTCCCACGGGACATTCGGCATCGGTGGATACAGATCGAGAACATCGATGTGGTGGATGACTTCGCGACCGTTTCCACTGGGATGATAAGTTAGGTAGAATATATCGACTTGAGCTGGGACCTCGATGCCCGCACGAATTCTGGTCGAGTTCCACTCGGCCTTCCTTGCCCCCGACTTCTTACTTTCGTATTCGAAAGCTTCTCCTTCTACCCTCTCAATATGAAAAACTTCACCCTTCCCAGGTCGGTGACCGTCATCAAAGCGGACTCCCTGAATAGCCAAATGGGCCCATCCCCTTTGAGCTGCTCAGAATCCTTGTTTGACCTTGAACGCGGTCCAGACATCCTTCAGCCAAGCGGTTTGGCCTCAAACGAGATGAAGAAGAACGTTGTGTCAACAACCGTGTCTGGTAAGTTTCAGCGCGACCACTGGCTGAGATACTCGGTCAGCAGAGCGTCGACTGGCCTTCTCGGGCAGTTGTCGGCGAGCTCGGCCAAACACTGCTGTGCAGAAATCAGATGGGACCCGCATAACAACATCATGAGCCCCTTGTCGTTTCAGATTACTGCGAGGACGACGACCGGGGGTTCTCGATAGACATGTTTTATAAGCCAGCCCTAGCGGGTACAGATACTCCAACCGAAATACCTCACAACCAGACGACGGTTAGCCCTGTAAGTGCAGGCGGGAAGAATTAGTTAATTATTTATACCCTTGGCATCGTTAGAAGGCTGACATCCTGCATTTCGTCTGATAAATGTCGAAATCGATCATCGAGCTATCCCGGTTTCATCTTTATTCGTAATTCACTCATCGTCGTCGTCCTTGTCCCTCGTCGTTCCCTCACGAGCCCATGGCTTCTTATGCGGCTCGCCTCGAGCCCTCACATGGAGTTCCAGATTCTGGAGATAGAAGTCGCTCTTACAGGAGGAAATCCCCGCCGACGATCATCTTATGCAGTCGCTTCTGTTTCAGAGTTACGGGTCAACTGGATCAGCCTCTATGTCTATATCACCCTTAGCCGACCTACCTCTAAATCCCGCAGGGGTATGCGGAACCTTGCGGGGGGTTCACCACTCACAAGTGAGTCTCTCTTCCCTATAGGAGCGAATTTCGAGGAGAACTCCGGAAAATCCGAATCCTCGCGTTGTATGCCATGCTGAGAGTCCTCCGAAGGCGGTCCGGAGCTGAACGCGAATTGTTTCCAAGAAGCGCAACCCACCGAGAAACCCAGAGTCGATAGTATGGAGATGAGGGCTCACATGTGCTTGAGGGACAATTTTTTCCGAGCGAGTCGATTGCCCCAGCCGACCACTCACAGATTTCGAAAGAGCGCTTTAGACTTTTGAAATATGCAGTCCGAATTAAAAAAGCTCTCGAAAATAGCACGTTAACGGTATGAATGATTATAATCAGATTCGAACTCCTGGTCCTGTCTCATTATCCCCAAGTTGAGTTCTGCGATAATGACCTCAGGGCGACCTTGGTCAGTCCGCGAACACGTATGAATGGCTGATGTATTCAGTTTGAGAGAATCCGTTCGGGTAGAAGTTGTTCGTACCAGCATGTTCCGAATCAGGGAAATCTCACCACAGGCCCAGCATTAAGCGGAACATGTTTCCGGGTTACATCGATAGTTCGTGCGCAGCGATGATACGTGTGCGTGCCTGTGTCAGTCCGTAGCTCTGAGAACGATGAATGAATATTTCATTCATTTGAAGCTATTTCGCGATTCCAGGCATTATCTCGCCAGCTCATGGAGCAGCAGATCCATGGAGGGCCGATCGTAGAGCTGTATGCGACCTTGCGGCAGCATCACGGGAGTGCAGCACAACGCCTCGATCATCTCCGGCTTCACAAAGGAGGATTATCCACAGCCACTGCAGCCACAACAGCCATGGGACTGGGAGACGGGGCACGCGGGTTTGGTGAAAGAACCGCGTTATCGGGGAATAGTGGTGGTGGTGTTGGGAGTGAAGGACTCGGAAGCAGTGGAAACTGTGGAGGCGGCGGCAATAGCAACGCCGCTGTCGGTGGAGCGATGGTCGTTCCGCCTAGCTTGACGCAGTCATTGAGTCATCCTCATTCACCCTCGGGGGCAAGTGTCATGCCTTCTGAATGTGACAGTACGATCTCTTTTCTGACCACTCTACAACGGAAGAAGAAACAACCTTCCGCAAGCATCGCGGAACAGGACAGCTATAGCTCGAGGGAAAGTTCCGTATAAATGTAGATTCAACGGACTGACAAGCGGCTATACAAAGCATGTTGAACCAAAATTCGGGGCAAGATAAACGGAGAAAAATGTGTGATTGATGTCATCCATTGACTGAATGCCGAGACCGTGTATTGCTTGGTTTGTGTCTGATGTGAGGGCGAGTCGATCATTCGATCGACCGCTCGGTTGATTGACGTGCTCGGAGTCCGGGAAACCAATAAGCTGCGTTGTACATAAGATTACCACTATTGTGAAATGTAAATAATATATTTCGAATGGACTATGTACACAGAGAAACATCTATGAATATAGCGGAATGGTGACCAAATACCCCTATTTGCCTTTATTGAGTACCTTCGACACGACTATTTCCTCTATCGGAACCGAGTCTGAGATCGGAAACTTACAGGAAAGGAAACCCAGGGAAAAATCCCATGTCCCAAGAGGACGGCGTGCGGGACCATTGCCCATTGGATAGTCCTTTCTTCTGCGTGGGCTCGTCTCTTCCGAGCTCCTCAACATGGAACGAATTCAGAGCTCTAGATCCCTCACCGTCTCCCCGAACCTCGCGGTGAGTGGATCGAGCAGCTCGGAGTGTACGTACGAGCGTACGATGGGAAAACTCTCCAAACGGACGTTCATACGACGGAAGCGAGCCTGTATCTGTTGCATCTAAACTTTTAGGTCTATGCCCGACCGAGCTGATCCTATGCCCGGGGAAATCGTACAACTCATGCAGCAAGCTTATGGAGATCATCGAGACCCGTTTTTCTTGGACCGACTGATCCGTGCAGGTCCTGCTTATTTGGGGTAGAAGGCTCGCGGGGAGGGACACGGGCAAGGAAAAGACCGCTCGATCCGTTATTTCCCTGATTGGAAAAGTTCGGTCCCGATTTATAGGATCCGTTAGGTTTCTCACAGACGAAGTCAACCCTCGAATAAGACTCGTTAAACGAAATCTGAATTTGAATATCGTATCGCGAACTTCCTCCTCAATTTGGATGTTCGCCCCCCGCTCGTGGGTTTGAGCTCTGACTCGGAGTCTGAATAAATCTCGATGCGGTTTTCCAACGAGGGAATTCCGGATGGCACAAACGGGGAACCATTGGAGCAGAACTCCAATTGTACATGTATACTGTCTTGAGAGTCGAGTTTCGCCGGTTCCTCAGCTCTCGTCTCGGAAGAAGCCAAGCTAGTGACTTGGGCTTATTAGGCTCTGCCCAAATCGTCGAGCAGAGCAGCGAAACCATGCGCCTACCGGGAACGATTCGGATAGTCACTCACTCAGCATTGATTTCGCGCTTTCCTCCCCCCCCCTGAGTCCCGCCCGCCCTGTTCCTGAATGCGAGCCATTCGTGAAGAATGTTCCTACTCCGGAAAATGTCGGGCGTGGTCGTTTATTCAGGGTTTGCAGTCACGGAAAGCTGTCGGACGACACGCTTGAGGCTGAGATACTGTATTCTGCTGACCGGTCACAGATTCGCCTGTGCGACATTGACGAACCCTGTTTGCTTGACGTCTTACCAGGACGTGAAGTGCTTCGGTCACGGATTGGAACAAGGTTCTGAGCCGGGCATCGACACGATCGGTCCCGTGAAAGAGCGGCCAGAAACGAGGTCCGACAAAAGGAAAGAACACGCTTGCCATGCGAAACAAAAGCGCCCCTCCTCCGGTCCCCGAGGAAAATGATGACGCGGGTCCAATCTTGAGTTCCGAATGTATTGGGGTCGATGCGCTCAAGGTCTATCCGTAGGCATGTCCGATCTCACGCAATGGTGTCTCACGGATAGCCCAATTAATCGGAAATCAATTGTTCTTCCGCTGCGCGCTCGGTCACATTCTTTCTCTTCGTTGCGACGCTGCCCGTCCTGCTCAGAAGGGCGCGCTGACATACGAATGATCAATCGACCGATGAATTCGGATTCTTTCCTGCAATGGCCTGCTCTGTTCCGGAGTGATCGAGGGCCTGAAAGTCTGATCTCGTCGCCTATTCGCCGTACGGGTGAATTCAATTAGCCATTCCAACGGAAGCGAATACCTGTCGCCGTGATCACCTCCGACGCGGATAGCGGCGCAGAAAGTAACGTGCAGGGCGCAGAGGAGCGCTCCTCGCGACATTCGAGAGCCATCGAAGACCTGATGTCGCCGTGCAGATCCTTGCTGATTCCAATCGTTCGACAGGATCGGATATCAGCTCTGAAGAACGGAGCCCGAGAAATGAGTGCAATCAGCACTGGTGTGCTTGCCTTGCATCGCTCATGGGATTCGAGGAGCAAGATTCGAGGAGCTCGCTGAGACGGTGAACCCCAGAATGAATCTCACTTAATGAAATCGTGAATTCGCGAGGAATGGCTTCCCTGTTGCGTCATGACTACACTCTGAAACTTTCTCCTCAAGTTTCCTGATGGAGCCTCATCGCAGAGATTTCCATGCGATATGGTTCCGAGACAGGCTATAACTTTTCCTGAAAGTCATAATGACTTTCTGAGATCGCTCTCCTCCGGCGCATTCTCTTTTTCTTTCTTCCGGGCAAGTTTTGCCCGGCTAATCGTTCACTGTGTGCGAGCCCGTTCGCACTCGGGGAAACTGTGTATATGTATACGGCGGCGAGCACTTTAGGACCCGTTTCCAGCGAGGAAAGTGTATGCATGCACATACTTTCTCGATCGATGATGAACGCAGTCGTTCTTCAAACGCTGTCACCTCGACTGAGCGGACAAACTGCGCACCCGGAGCAGATGCGCCGACCTCCCGGAAGGGTGCGACCGCCGGAAAGAACAGGTTTTCGGAGGGAGCCGGATAAATGGAGAGGTTCACCGCTGAATATTGTATGAAGTCTCTACGACAGTATCGACCATGGCGAACATGCGGTTTCGGTAGCTGCTCTTCCGAAAGTGGACCTCCACGGAGAACCACTGTCGTTCGTTCGAGCCAGCTCGCAACTCTTCCAACATTGGCTGGCTGGCTGGTCTGCGTTCTCGGTGCGGGACTTCTTAAAAAAATTGCCTCCGCCTCGAGCAACCAGTAAATGATGAAGTCGATTTTTCTTCGTATCACTGGAAAGGGGCTGCAAGAAAGCCCAAATCTCAGGACTCAGACTCCCACAGTGATTCTTAGGGATTCTCTCTCGAGATGTGCTCTGGACCTCACCATGGAAGAACGGTTCCCGGATCCAACGATTGAGAATACACATGGAATTCACATCGAGCCGCATCTTCAGCTCTATCGGACATCCGATACAATCTCAGGAATCTTGTCTCCGAAAGCCCGAGCGGGGAACAGTTTGCAAGCGTTCAATCGGTGCTAGAAAATTTTCGAAGCCGTGGCCGCAAAGAGAGCGTCTCAATATTCGTCCGGAGACGTGGACTCCAAGGAAAGCTGCTTTGCTCTCTGGAGGCAGTCGCCGGCTGCGAAAGGGCAACCTCCGGACGGGAAAACAAATTATGAGGCGATTGAATCCGCGCATGTAGTCAGCAGGGAGCTATGGGTCGGCTCTGGGAGTTTGAGGACTTTCTGATCTCGTCATTCATAATTCATTCGATGCCCGAACCAATTATCACCCTCGAATGCTGAATTCAAGTAGGTAGAAACATTCGGCGTCGGGATAAGGCCCAGCGGCATTCCCAAGCGGCCCCGGTCATACTCGACGAGAGCCGGTCTGAGCTTTAGTGTCACAAGTGCTTAGTTAGCATATTTGGGAGCGTCCGAAAAATGGCACAGTCAAGCTCCGTTCTCATTCAGATCTCGCTCTGCTTCGGCCACGACCACCGAATAGGAGAAAGATATCCATGGATGGAGGAAAGCTTCCCCTGAATGCCTGAACGAGGAATGAATGAGCCACAATGCGAAATGAACGAATGGAAGAACCGCATTGCCAAATGAACGAGTGAATATATTTTGTCTAGATAGAGATGACCATCCGTGCTGATCATTGTGCACGGAACGAAACTTTTCTCCCTCCTTCTGTTGGAGGGACACTCTCCCGACAGATGACCGTTAGTTTCGGCTTCTTTCTTTTTTGTATACCGTGGCAGAAGAAGGAAAGACGTCTCATATCTCGACCGACTGGACGAAGGTACCTCATGAAAAACAACGGAGACGCTCCAGCGCACGGCGATCCCCAGCTTGGAAATCCTCCCGGGGCCGTTGCAGCCCTCGGCTTGTCGCCTCAACGATATTCTCAGTCGACTTTCTCAGAATCTTCGAGAAAAGTCCACGTTTTCACTTAATTGATCGTTTTTATCGTATGAGAGCAAACAAGCTCCGGGAAGAGTTTGTTCGAGGTCGCTCTCCACACCGAACGACGCGGTCAGCCGTGCTTGCGATCAAGCCCTGGACCAATGGTGTCGGACCGAGACGGGCGCCTACTCATTCGCACGAACGCGTCGAAATACGGCCAAACCTTCCGTTTCCCATTCGCTTGGTTAAATTTTAATGAACGAACATTCAGTGACTGGACCGCGTGCGTCGTCCACCGCTGTCTGCCACGAGCCGACCGAGCTGCCATATGAATGGGCGCACGAGCGAACGTACATTTCTCGTGTCCCTGATTTCGGTGTTCGCGGCTTCATCGGCCGTGCGGAATCTGGTTGGCGGCGGGTTCTGCTTCCCGTCAGCCTCGAGAGACGGTGTCAAAGACGGCAGCTGCTGTCGCTGCTGTTCGTGGCTGCGTCAATGCTCAGTCAGCATTCGGTTCGGTCGCCTCTCATT